ATATATATATAGTACATATATATATATATATACATATATATAATATATATATATATATATATATACATATATAATATATGTATAGATAAATATATATATATAACCCCCCTAATTTTGATAACAAGGCTGTTGATTATGGCTTTAATCCATGTAGAACCGAATATAAATGAACATACTACGAAGTGTTTGAATATACGTATGAACTCATCTAGGCCAACTTTTTTGATAGAATTTATACTGTATAACTGTGCGTATTCAAAAGAAATTTTACTTGAAATTATTAAATCATAAATCCGAATACACAGCGAATCATTAAATTAGACGAAACGTATCCGGTAAATCGTCGAATTACTGTCCGAACACTGGGGTCTTAAATTGAGCCTTGTCAGATAGCACCAACCCACAGACGATTACAACGAACCGATTTGGGGTTTAACTGCCCCTCTCGTGCACAGCACAATGAGAGTTGCGCCAGTTCGTTTATTATTTCGGGCGATGCACCAAGAACATTCGAAATTCTGTGGACATTGTACCGATTCTCTGGTACTTGCTGAAAATCTAGACACAAGATACCCGGTTCGCTTCATGACAAGCGCGTTAACGCTACCATGTGCCAGTGCGGCATGGCTGTTTTGTATAGCGTTAACGCCCCGTCATCAGCGCCTACAGATAAGGAAGCCAACATACGTTAATTCAGTCAGAATTGCTGAAAAGAAGCTATTACATAGTTTTTGTAAGCATACACCGAATAACCCGACGACGTATAGTCATCTATATTTCATCAAGGAACGGATTGTTGAAAATTGTACATCTCTGCGCGGGTTAGAGGCCATTTAATACTATGTCACCGATATGAAAGTGGCCGCCATGTGGTTGATTGCCGATTGGCTAGTGCTTTAAGTGTCTTGTGAACTCTTTCATGGGCGGTGGAAGGTCAGTGATTGTGTGAGGTGAGTTCAGGCGCAGAGGTTTAGGGTTTAGGGTTTTTGTGGATGGTTACTGATTGGCTAGTGCTTTGAATGTCCTGTGAACTCTTTCATGGGCGGTGGAAGGTCAGTGATTGTGTGAGGTGAGTTCAGGCGCAGAGGTCAAATGCAGTAAACCAACACAGACCTACAATCCAATATCCCCCGATTGTTCACAAGCCTGAGAAACCTACCAACTTGCCATACAACAACAAATACACACAAGCGCACCCAGAGAACCAAACACACCTGCATATATCCAACGTTCACAAGACGAGATCGCCAAGCTTCGTATGGCTGGGGCCATGGCTTCGTACACGTGTATGATGCTCAAATTATCAACCAGCCGCACGACCACACAGCCGTTGTTCCCTCCCGTGACCAAATAACGCCCGTCTTGGCTCACGCATGCATCTCCGAGCTTCTCGTCTATTGCCAGGGTTTTCAACAGATGCCCTGTAGGGTGGGATAGGATAGCACACGATATCCCAGTGAGCCGAGTGTAAGCGCGATTGTACTGTTGGGTATGCGCGTAGGCTACTAACCCCATCACCCGCACAGGTAGTGACAGGTAGTAACACCTGCTCTTGTATCGTGTATTGGTTCTGATTGTGGGCCGTAGTTGGAGTGATATGTCCTCGTAATATCAAAGATACACTGTACATTCAAACAGAATGTGTCGTTGATTGTAGCAACACGTTGATAAAGGGCGTGTGCAAGTGATCACCGAATACCATACTCATCACGTCAATAATATCTCATCACGTCAATAATACGACAGTATACGCCTCACGTCAATAATATGACAGTATATTCATCACGCCAATAATATGACATTATACGCCTCACGTCAATAATATGACGGTATACTCATCACGTCAATAATGTGACACTATACTCATCACGTTAAGAATGTGACAGTATACGTATCACGTCAATAATATGACAGTATACGCATCACGTC